ATATCTTGGATTTACAGTCTTGCTACAGCAATAGCGAACACCATGGGGCCACAGATAGGACTCCGACGGAGCTGGCAGGACCGAGTCGTTTCGATCTTCAGCGGGGTCGGGCAAAGGTAATTGTGCCGACGATTAGTGCAGCCACACCAGCGGGAAATGGACCTCCGCCACTCGAACGGCGTGTTTCCTCAGCGCCGAGAAATCCTCCGCATATCGGTTAAGTTGCCGAACTATAGAGCACAGTGCTGATGAATATAAATGCAGTCCCTTACCTACTAGTAGACAGCTGTGATCCCCTTGTCATCTACTTGTTATAATCCTTGTGCCTCAATCAAGTGATACGGTCCAATATCCAATATTTTATCTCCATACTATTTGAACGCTTGACACCGATAATTTTCACAATGAGTGAATCCACCATATTAAACCGACTCTCTGCCCTAGACACCAACACAGTGTCCGATGCTCTAGATTTCTTAGACCTCAAGGGCGCCACCTATGGACTACGACCACTCTGGGACTGCCCAAAGATAGTAGGACGAGCCAGCACAGTTAAAGTTGGTCCCAAGACCGACGCTGCTCCCACAACTCATCTCCTCACTCCGGTCATCGATGCCGTCACGACGGATGATCGCATTCTGGTTATCTCGGGCGGCACCGAGGGAATTTCATGTTGGGGCGACATCATCGCCAATGCCTCGAAGAAAAAAGGCATTTGCGGGACCATCATTGATGGCATGAGTCGTGACATTGACGGCAGCAAAGACGTCAGCTATCCCGTCTACGGCCGCGGTGTGACCATGATCAGCGCGCGTAACCGACTAGTGCAGCTCGAGTCCGGTACACCATTGCAGGTTCGCGGTGTCACCGTCAACCAAGATGACTACGTGATTGCCGATATCTGTGGAACGGTATTTGTGCCGGCTGCGCGCATCGAGGAGGTTCTGGACTTGGGTGAACGTATCGATCGTCGCCAAAACCGTATGGTGCAGGCTGTAAGAGCTGGAAACCCTGTCTCGGAGGTCATGCATGATAAGCAATTCGAGGCTATCCGCTCTAGTGAAGAGTCTGCTCCGTCTGGTCCATCGTCGTCATCATCAAACCCTAAGAAAGCAAGCCCCGAAGATGCAGAGTTGGCTGCCCTCTTTGCCGAATCAGACACACCTGGCATCTCGGATGCGCTTGATAAGCTTGGTATCCCTGGCCAGGCGCTCGGAATCATGCCTTTGACCAACTACGAGAAGGTAACAGTGGGACCGGCCTTTACTGTGCGCTACGTCCCTGCCAGCGACCCCCCGGGCAGTGTTGGTGACTTCATCGACGATGTCGCTGAGGGTGACTTTGTGGTTATCGACAACAGCGGTCGTACGGATTGCACCGTTTGGGGGGATATTATGACACAATATGCTGGCTTGCGAGGCATTGCTGGCACTGTCATTGACGGTGTCTGCCGAGATGTAAACCGCGCAATCAAGGACGAGTATCCCCTTTTCACAGCTGGTCGCTGGATGCGGACTGGCAAAGACCGTGTCCAGGTAGGAGGCGTCAATGAGTCTGTGGGTATTGGCAAAGTGCGTGTCAACCCTCGTGATATCGTTGTTGCTGATGCCAACGGTGTTGTCATTGTTCCTCGGCATCGGGCAAGGGAAGTAGCGGAAGTTGCGCAGAAGATCGAGAAGAGCGAGGAGGGCATTCGTGAAATGATCGTGGGAGGAGCAAGCATTGGGGAGGCACGGAAGAAGCTTGGATATCACACACTGCAGCGTAATGAGAAAAATTGAGGAAGAGGTTATAGGCCTGTATCATGAAGAGTTTGTCTATGCTTTCAAACGAAGTGGGCTAGATTTATATTAGAGATTGTAAACAATGATAAATGAGTTCCAACATTGCTCCCTGATTAAGACCCTCACGATGAATTCGCATTATGTATATGTGCCACAGCCCAGGTTACGTAGAAACAGCTCGAATGACTATTACAATCCTATTAATAATAGATATCTTTTACTTGGGCGTAATTCACCAAATCTATTGCTTCAGTGAAAGTGCAAGTCTGTAACATAGCCCCAATTTCTCCACACAAATTCTGGTTCCAGAACCCCGAAGCATCAAGTCTAATCAGAAACAACTTGGAGACCGATCTCAACACAGTCGCTCGAAAGAGTGACAGCAGATTGGCTGGCAAAGATCATGTAAGTCGGGTTCCGCAGCGTACAAGGATTGGTGGTGGCAGGCATAGAAGTTGCCCTGGGCCCACTCAGAAATGTTGTCAGAGCCCGTTGTGAAGCCCAGGGCCAAGCCGCCGAAATGGATACCGTTGGTGCTCTTGAAGTCGTCGGTGCTGGAGCTGCTGTGACAAGCATGCTCAAGGCGAGAGCAGACAGGGTAATAGTGGTCATTATTGTTATCCGGGGTCGTTCGTTGAAATGTATGAAGATTGTAGGAGCAGAGGGATAGTGCTGATTCTGTGTGGTAATGAAGTATTAATCAGGGAAACCATTTGTCCTTACATTAATGAAATTTGTGAGAAATTGAACACCTTGATTACTATTCATAATGCAATCGCGGCGTTTAGAGATCTACCTTCGGTACCAAATTCACGGATTAATACATCAATCTTCATGCTGACAGCCAAGCTTTCTTGTTTTAGCTTGCTTCGCCTATTAAGGCCAATGAAGGGTCTGTTTGCTCTTCAGGGTCCTAGTTGCTAAGTCACCAATAACCCTGACCTGCTTCTGTGCTAAATGCACTTCGCTCACGATGAACAGATAGTAGTTGTCATAGCACATCTGGTCAGTGAAATGGCCTTTCCACCAATACACAAAGATGAGAAAAATCATTTTTTATTCGTGCCAATACGGAGATCATGCATCACATCTATTTCCACGATAAGATCGATTTTCACATAGGCACTGCTACTGTCTCCCCTTCGGCCATCAAGGCTGCTATGTTCTCTCGGTTATCCTGCAAGTCGATATTGCGAGCATGCCCAACCACCTCTGTTCCCTTACCATCAAAGGTCTCACTAATCTCAATGTTGACAGTTGCGAGCAACATCAATAAAATACTATACTACACCGATTGTTGGCTGTCAGTATTATGCAAATGGTATTGCTCGAGTGCCATACCACTCTGCCCTCACAATGCCTCGGTTCCGCTAAGAGAAGGGTGAAAACATTTGTGTCTTTCGATTCACTGCTTATCGATTCCCAAGGTTCCCACAAAGCTAACATGAAATGTTAATATCTCTCAAAGTGATACGGGCTTCATATCGCTATATCATAGTTCCAAGACCCTGTATCTCTAACTGCCTTTCGTATACTCGACTTTGACATTTGTTCCTCGGCATGATGACGCTTCATTTACAAAGGCACCACTATTTAGTAACGCCTGCATTATAAACTCCCAATGAACAGATAATAGACTGGTATTGGTTTAGCAGGGTAAGTATACGAGTACAAGCCTTTCAGCGACCGTCAATGGTATTCACAAACCGAGGAGTGATGTCCCAAACCACCCAAACGCATCACGACCGCGCCACCTGCAACTCACTAGTATACCAATTTTGCATAGCACGGATATCATAGCTCAGCGCCACTGTATCAAAGACCTTCAAGTGCTCCCTGCCCAACGTCCCGTTATTCGACAGCCGACCAACCCACTTCCCATGTTTCCTGGCCCCAGCCACAATCTTCTCAATAGCTTGTACAAACTCAGGCTCGTCACCTCTCGCGGGAACATACCCTAATATTGACAGAGCCAGATCGTTTGGACCTATAAAAATCATATCTGCCTAAAGTTAGCCGGATTGGAATAGCTAGAGAAACGAGTATGGGCGCAGCTCACCAACACCAGGTACCGCACAAATTTCCTCGACATTCTCGACTCCCTGTTTAGTTTCGATTTGAATACACGTAATCAAGGTTTCATTCGCTGTCTTGATGTACGTCGAGAGGTCGATACTATGTGTAAATGCCGGAAATGCCGATCCTTGTCCGCGAAGCCCTTGTGGAGGAAACTTGGAATAAGAGACTACTGTCTGGGCTTCTTCTGCGGTGTTGATTTGTGGGACGACAATTCCGCTTGTAGGTTGATCAGTCTGGGCACATCCTGAAGAATGGTAAGTGGACCGTGTGCTACTCACTGCGCGCCGGCATCCAGGGCCCGTTTAATCAAGTCCGAGTGAGTCATTCGTAGACGCACAAGCGGTGATACTCCTAGAGAAGCTATAGCTGCTGTTGCACTGTGCATTGAGTCGTCGCTTATGTGACCATGCTCGCAGTCGATGATGATGCCCTTCTCAATTATTAGCTTAGCGGGAAGGTGAGTGGTAGGATTGGGCGCTAACGTCAAGGCCGGTCTGGGCTACTATTTGAGCTGTGCGAAAAGAGGGAAGGCCCAAGAAGGTCATTATGGGCTTTGCATTTGCTCGGAGCGCATTGAGGAGTCGCAGCTGCGGATTTAAAGTTGCGATTGTCATGGCTAGGTTTCTCTATTGGGATATGCTAGAAGGGTGTTAAGTGATAGAGTAGAACTCCAGAACACTAGTTGATATATAGATAAAATATGGTTTGCGATAAAGGGCAGCCAAGCTGGAAATAAACAACTACATGTGCCGGAAAGCAGTCACAATAAAAACAATATAATAATAAGCATCGGGAGGGTCAGCTAGAGTCCGAACGGTAAAGTCGGAGTTCAACCGATAATCAATCATCTGCCTTGGCCTATACAAACAATTATATTTCCTAATACCATATCTATACCCTAAATTAATCGGTCAAAGGGCACTCTCCCCAGCAGCACTCCATGCCGAACCCAAAGGGATCTATCTATATCCGGCCCCTCCCGCAACGGCGCGGGACCGGCAAAAGAACATTTCGCCGACACCTATCAACCTATGAATTGACGTCAGGTTGCATATATAGCCTCACCAATCATCGAATCACTATCGAAGTACCTCTGCAAGAGCCATCCTCGTCTAGTCAAAATACTACCCGACCTTCGGGCCAAAGCACATACCCCTCACCATCATGCCGCTCACATACTCAACCATCCCGCTCAGAGTCAATGGCGTGCGACTCGAAATCTCCACCATCCACAACAACAAGCTCGACTCCAACCCACCAATCGTCTTCCTGCACGGCTTCGGCTCCTGTAAAGAAGACCTAGCCGACATAAGCGTGCATCCTTCGTTCCAGGAATATGCCTATCTGGCCTTCGACGCTCCGGGATGCGGACATTCACATACCGACGACCTCTCCGTCGTTGACATCCCCTTCCTAGTCGCCACCGCGGAAGCGGTCCTCGCGCATTTCGACATTGATCGGTTTCACCTCATGGGCCATTCCATGGGCGGACTTACTGCCCTCTTACTGGCACATCAGCACCCCGATCGTGTGCTAAGCTTCGTCGACATTAAAGGGAATCTTGCCCCCGAGGACTGCTTCCTTAGTCGTCAGATTTTCCAGTTCCCGGCTGATGATCCTGAGGCGTTTATGGATGCTTTCATTGCTCGTACGGCGACGGCAGAGTCGTATGCTAGTCCGTTGTATGCGAGTACGCTGCGCGCGAGGGTCCGGTCGGGTGCTGTGAGGCCGATCTTTGAGTCGATGGTTAGGTTGTCAGATGAGGAGGATCTGATGGGCATGTTTTTGAGGCTGCCGTGCAGGAAGATGTTTATGTTCGGGGAGGAGAATCAGGGGTTGTCGTATTTGCCGAGGTTGGAAGGAGAGGGAGTGGACTTGGCGATGATCGTCGAGAGTGGGCATTTTCCCATGTATTCGAATCCGGTCGAGATGTATCGCAAGATTGCTACTTTTTTGGGGAGTAGGGTATGAGGTGTTGTTAGATTGGTGTGGTAGATTATATGTAGATTGGATAGATTATACGATTGATAGACTGATATCAGATAGAAGGATATGTACTATAGATATTATCATATTGATTAACCACCTTAGCGATGATTGGTTGACCTTGTGGAGCAGCTAATGAAAATTATAGCTCTTCTGACTAGCATTCACATTTATGGTGGCACAGCTTGAGTTCGAGTGAAGAACGATCTGTAAAAGAGTACAGTTCGCTCATACCCAACGAATTCCCTCACGCGAGGTTTCGATGGCACCGGAGGCAGTGGTACATCATGGTTAAGCCACTATGAGACATTAGGAGATACTTGTACTGGCGGTGTGAGCAAAGTTACATCTCCTTCAGTTTCTTCGAATACCTCACATTGAATTAAACTTCTACTGTCACTGCAGTTAACTTAATCTCCTGTTAGATTTATGATGAGCAACATATTCCCTAACATTCTCGTCGCAATTAAACCTAATCTTTATTCCTAGCAATCAAGCTCCGTCCGTTATCTACTTGGGGCAAGTCAACGCAGCACCCCTTCCTCCCGCACCAGTCATGCTATGTAAGGGATAGCAAGGGCCTGGAACAGCCGAACTTCAAGAATGGTGTCTTGGAAATGTTTCCTGTTTACTTCAATACATGTCGGTTTCGTCAAAGGTAAAATCCGTCTCGAGATCGACAATGCTCCATGACGGAGATATGCGATGAAGCCTTTTCATTTCGTCTATCTATCTATTCGTACCACGATGCATCATTTCCTCATTGAACCTCATTAGACTCTCTCCAACAATCAACATTTCGTCGTTCAGCACATTCCACATTCCGTCACTCGTCGTTGACAAATTGTATAGTCCATCTAGTAGTGGCACTGGCCGTGGGCATCACGGGGGGTTGAGGTACCGTTGATAGTCAACTACAGGTTGCATTAGCATTGAACCATCCACATACATACGTGTTATGATACTCACGGTCCAGGGAGCGTGCTTCTTGCACCAGATGGCAGTCAGATCCTCGGGGCAGTCAGTGCGGTTGCCGCCAGCGAAGCCAGTGGGGAAAGCAGTCTGGCCTGTATTGCACAATCCAGTTAATTACAAATACCATCAAAAATTTCCTCGTCCAGCACTCGGTCTTCACTTACATTCACCCGCAATAGCCTCGCCCAGATCCCAGGCACCACCGCCGTCACTCTCGAAGGCGCTGGTCACCTGCTGGATGACCTCGTCGTCAGCCTCGGAGACGTAGTCGTGGGTGGTGCAGCAAAGCGGGATACCATCGCTGTAGTCGAGGACAGTGTTCTGCGCGGCCACGGCAGAGGCGAGGAAGAGAACGGCGGGAAGGATAAACTTCATTTTGGATTTGGGAGTCGTTTTGACTTGGCTTGGCTTTTGGTAGGATCTCAATAAGATATCCTGTGGATGATGGATGATTGGAGAACAAGCTATGATCCGGGGATCAATGGGCGGTATTTATGTCCCTTCTAAATCGGGGGACCGACCTCACTTTCACAGCATTGTATTGGAGGCAGCTGAGGTACCTCGACCCCTCACGTTGATAGATAACATGCTATTTGTCAATGCTGAGACTCCTGCAGTGACAGCGGCCCTTGCATGTAACTAGCTAGCTCAATGGTTTGTTAGCTGAGTGATACCTAGCAAGGGATAATTAGAAGAGACGAGAAGCTAGTTATACAACACACGGCACAGAGGGATGGATGTTTTGGCTTGAGTTTAGGGAACTCAAGCTGGGCATTGTTGGGGAACTGGCAGGCAGGGTTGAAACAAGGGCTGGGCAAGACATTCCAACATGCGCAGGCGGGCTAAGACAGATATCCGGCGGTGAGATAGGTGTCCACTGGGGATGACAGACAACGAGAGCTGCCGGTTGGAAGGGAGGGTTTGTATATCATTACTCCCCAGGGAAAACAAAGCCCTTTCTTCTTGCCACGCTTCAGATCTCGGGATTGTCGGCTAGCCTCTTTACAACCGATGACAACTCTCGTAGGGACCAGGCTCCCAAACTCCAGGAAGCGATAGCCTGATGTGCGAGGGCAGAAGCTAGACTGAGTACACCGTGCGACAATATGCGGAGGCAGCATCGATCTGCATCATGCAGGCCACCAACGGATTACCCGAATGAAGCATAGTGCTTGGTTTCGTTCAATCACTGAAAGCTTTTTGTCTTCCGTGCCCTGTTGATCTTTGCCGGGATCTTCAACTATCTTCGGAGTGGCTAGAGTCTAATCAAACCTTCTGATCCTGTTTCGCAGTAAATTCGCCTGGATCGCCTTCGATTACCTGATTGGCAGTGAATTGGTGGCAGGATTATCTCACCGATTCCTCCATCGTCATTTCCCTATTTGAGGAGTTGGCTACATAAGCATATGAGATAATGCAGATGTGAAACACGCGGGTTCGAAGCGCACTCGGTAGGATCAAAGTAGCAGTCAACGAGTAAAGCCTCCGCGGTAGCAGAAAGTATCTCCTGGTAGGACGGAGGACGCTTGATACATACAGATGCTGATATATAGAAGTATAGCGAAGAGGTATTGCAGGGAGGAAATGGTGATCAATTGCAGCAACACCTCGCTACATGTAAGCAGCTAGCAAACAATCTCACTAACAGAGAAAGCGATCTTATTCCCGTCACTACTAACTGACTCAGATCATTCAAGAGTGACTGGAAGCTCAGTCAAGTGCACGAATGCAAGAAGGAATGTATGCACAGGTGTCCCTGTTGAATGAGACAACTCCTGACCATTCCACAGAGCTCCGCGGGGGCGCGGAGAACAGGGGGTCAACAGGAGAAACAAAGTGAAAGTCGAGTAACATCTTTATTTTGAACACAAGTCCTGTATCTAAGTGACTATCATGGTTTCATTCCTTGCTCCGTTTCGGCGCCTTGCGGGCCATGCCGGAGGTGCTGGTAGCTGGCGGCCGGCGCCGAGCCACATGACCGTCTACCGACTTCTCAGCCAGATGGACGGCAATTCTATATACAACACTTCGAGATATACAAAGTGGCTGCGTCGGTGTATTTACAGCTGCCTCTGCCGTTTCACGTCCCCACTTGATCCACACTGAGCACTCACTTGCGACCCATCTAACCCCATATTTGCACCTCATACGCCGTTATCGACCATGTCAGGGTCGCTCTGTGGTAGGGCATTGATCCGTGGTCGCTATATGCCATTTGTTTCACCACATGCGAGGAGGTCCCAGAAATCAATTCCTCACTTGACGGCAGGTGCCTGCCCATTAGCTTGAAGAAGAGGCCATTGCGAGCGCGCTTCGCGGGTTGGAATAACCGGGAGATGATGGATGGCTAGAGCCTACAACAAAGTTGGGGGGGCGGGTGGCGGGGGAACTTCGCAGTACTATGCTATGACCAAACACCTCGTCTGAATACACTCAGCTATTGCCGGTGTGAGTTAGTGCCCGAAATTTCTGGCTTGGTAGTCTTCACGATAAGCTTGTCTTCCAGCCAACGGGCGAACTTCACGCTAGGAATGTCCACCGCACGCCAGAAGACATCACCAGCCCAAAGGGAGATAGGAAGGCAGATGAGCCAGCCGATCAAGAAACCCAGGCAGTACTGGAAGTTGGTCTCCTTACCGACGACGGCCCAGATGTTAGGCATGAGAGAGTAGCCCAGCGAGTGGAGAATGGGTCCGTGGACGATGTAGAAGGCAAATGAAATCTTGCCCAAATACTGTGAAAGAGGGTGGGTGAAAAGTTTCTGGAGATCCTTGGAGTGGTTGATGCTGAACACAATGAGCACAGCGCCCAGGGTCTGGGGAAACCGATGCGGCTCCGGGTAGGTTCTGGGAGTGATCTCCCAGGTCCAACAGTAGAAGGGAGTCCACTTGTAGCCAGTGTTCGGGGCCGAACCGAAGTACAGACCGAGTACAAAAAGGCCGATCCAAAGGTTGCGGGTAGAGAGACGGAAGGGAAGAAGTTGTCTAAGGGCATTTTGCTGCTTGGGAAGGAAATGACGATGCCCAGTTCTTGGCTTCGACTCGCTCTCATTCACAGGTCGCTCCCAGGTGCCATTTATGAGATCCGCCTCCGCCATGAGCATGCCAAAGAGGAAGAGCACGATATCCCAACGGCCCCAGCGCATACAGAACCAGACTAGGCCGCTAACGAGCGAGATACGGACGGCAGTTGTCAGACGAGAAGTGCCCAGAATGGTGAGGAAGAGCACAATAGAGCTGCGGAACTCAACAGGGATGGTCCACAGATGCGGGTTGTAGTAGTTGTAGTAAAGCGCCCAGTTAAAAGGATCCATCAGATGAACGATTGCCAGGTACCAGTCCCAGTACTGCTTGTAGAAAGACCGCATGATCGGGGGATGCTGTTCGTTCGTGCCGAGGATGGTGTGGCCCTCCACGAGAACTTTATGTGAGTAGTTGTACACGCCCAGCCGGACCGCGATAAAGACCAATAAGATGCCAACGATAGATGGGATGTAGAGGCGGAGTGCGCGACGAAAGGTAGATGAGGCTAGGGTAGTGAAGGTCTGTTCCCAAGAGCGACTGCGGATCAACTTCAGTGGCTTGTAGGAGAGCACATAACCGGATATGACGAAGAAGATAGCCACCATGATATGGCCAGAGACCAGCATGTGTATGATAGGGAGCTGCAGCACGCTGAAATTCTCATTGTTGAATCCCCAGCCCACGGCAACTTTCCAGGTATAAGTGAAGAGGAAGTGGAAATTGAAGACTAGCAGGCAGGCCCAGCCGCGCAGACCATCCAACGCAGCGATCGCATGTTGTCTAGACGGGGGCTGCGACTTGCCGCCAACATGATGTTGCAAGTAACTCGGGGTTATGAAGATGGCGACTTTGGTGAAGAAGTCGTCCAGACGGTCGATGCCGTTATCCATGTGGTGCTTGACATGAGGAGCGAGAGCCGAGGGGTCGGTCAGATCGGACCAACTGGGAGCGGGGAAACGGCGAGAATGATTGGATTCCAGGTCATTCAGAGGAATATTATGGACTGGCGGTGGGGATAGGAGGCCATTGTCGGAGGACGACGACATTGTGGCGCTCAAGAGACGTCCGGTCGGTCGGAGGAAAGGCAGGAGGAGATGCGTCTACCGCGCGGAACGGGAGAGGTTGAACCAGCAACCAGCGATGGATTCGAACGGTCGAGGATTCAGTCGGGATGGGAGAAGGGAGAGGGGTCACTCGAATACCGAGTAGGGTAGAGGAGGACTTGTTCAGATGAGGATAGAATCATGGATGATCTAGAACGCGCTCAAGAGAGCAGACCAGGTGGAGGCGAGCAGGGTCGATAATTAGTCTACTAGTCTTCCAGGGACAGGGGACCATCTCCACCGCCTGCAACTTTGAGGATTCTGCACTTAAACTCCTTTGGGACTAGCCCCATACAGGTCACTGACTGACTGACTGAGTTCTTACCGCTATACTCAAGTAGGCAACCTCGTCTCTTGATGGGAAAAAAAGTATGGAGTCTCTTTCTTAACGTTCCATTAATCTTATATATCAGTAAGAATTATACCAGTGAGAGTATTGGGCCAGTATCGCCGAATCTAACCCTCTGTCCAGGCTGGTTGTGGATTACGTGGCAATTTGTCCCGTGTCCTGGGGATCGACCAGCGCATCATATATAATCCTGCTCACGCCATAGAGAAACTTGGTTGGTCTTGAATGAAGTATTATAAGCACCAACGTCTCGTTATAAGGCTATCATCACCGCAAAACTGTGGTCGGGCAGTTCGAGAACAATCGACTGATGCCTCATGTAATGCTATTGATTGCTGTTATTCTCGATAAAAAAAAAAAGGTTCTTTTTCATCTTCAACTAGTCGAGACCATTTGCATTAACAAAATTACGAGCATCTGAATTTCGTACCGGAGTAGTAGAGCAACATTAATATAAGTATAGCCAGCATAGTACAGGGAAACAAGCTTTCAAGTGTAGCATACTACGTCGCTAAGATTGGCTCAAACGCTCACGGAAGCGGCAAGTAGCTGTAAGTACTTAGGATTAAATCAGCTATGGCGGGTTGACCACTGCCTGAATTCAAGCAATTCCGGTCAGCAAACTCATTATACCATGGATCCTAGATCCATATCAATGTCCCGAAACTATCTCAGCGAGGCTGTACTAAAGTTACCCGCCCGCCCTGTCGACCCTGTAGCACTGAGACTGTTTGCTTTGAGTTCAGGCAAAGCAGAAGTAACATGTTTCATCGTGAGGAATATTTTCGGCTCTATTAGTATACGGTGTCTGTAGATGTGAGTTCGGCGATATCAAGTACAATCGGCACAGAGGGTTCCGAACCATCGGGAAGAATACCTTGGGCCGACCAACAGCATTGGCAACTGGCCTGGGAGACCGGTGAACATGTTACCGGACCGAGAGTATACTAATGCCGAAGATCATTCAGTTGACATATTAGCATATTATCGAGCAGTTCACTTTCTTCTT